TCGGTTCTTTTCTCTTCTTCTTCCCCGAGCTTTCTGCGCGGGTTAGGGTTAGGGTTCTTGAGATCCTTTTCCCCTTTCTTTACTTCTTCTCTGATCCGAACACGGATCTGTTCTTTCTTGCCGTGTCAGTGCGGCACTTTTCCCGCGCGGTGGCGGTGGTGACCGGGTTCCAGTGACATCCGCCACCCCCGGTCCCTTTTCTTTGCTTTTACCCGGTTAGGGTTAGGATTACACAGAGGCAACCGGCTCTGATACCATTGTTAGGATCGATGATTAGTACCTCTGTGTGTGTAACCCGTAGATCCGGGAAGACCTCATCCTTGTCTTCTCCGTAGATGTACAACAGCGGGTAGACGCCGGTGCCGCGGTAGCTCCGGCTCGGTGGAGTCCGTGATGGTGGCAATCCAGTGGTACTGTGGAGACCCAGTCCAGTGGTGCCGGCGGTGTCCCTGCATAGGCGACGGCGGTGGTGGTGGGGCACATCCCGTCGCTGGCAGCACGCTTTAGGATCGGATTAGGGTTAGCTCTATAGGTGGGTGACGGCTCCGTTCAACCTCGTTATCCGAGCCCTCACCCCCACCTTTCTTTTATGTGTGCTGTGCGACAGGGGCTCACCAATCGGATTAGAGTTAGGCTCCCCCGATCAGAGAGCAGAGATAAGGATCCTGGGCCTATCGGTGAAGATCAACTAATACTGCCCTTAATAATCCTAGCACTAGTAGGCACAGCTGCCTACCCCTGTTTAGTTGTACTACCATGCGCACGGCCGTCCCCCGGCCCCGGCCCGTTCTGGCATTGGTGTGCCCACGTCGTCTGAGCACATGCACATCTCCCCCCGCCGCCCCGCTGTCTGCGTGCACGTACGGACACGGATGCGCACCACGTGAAGACAAATCGGAGGATGGGCGAACCGGCCACGCGCTGGACCCGGCAGCGCGACCGAGCCCCTCTGCCGCGCTCCCAGCAATTAATGCTGGTAGCGTGCGGAGCTCTCGGCGGGCCGCGGCCGCGCAGGCGCAGCGCATGTCCGGACGACAGTTCACAACTCAGAATGTGGCGTCGACGAGGAATTATAAATGCTACAGTCCAGAGCCGAGCGAGCATTGCAGCGAGCCGCTCGCATCAGAAGAGCCTGCTGCTATCTCCGTTTCCCCAACGCCTTGTTTGGCATGTGGTGCATGGAGAAGACGTCGCGTTGGCGTAGGCCACCAACCAAAAGCCTTTGCCACCGGCACCACTCGCTGCATCAGGCTGGTTTGGTCCCTGCTGCCTGCATGCAGAGTCCAGAGACGTGTTTGTGGAGACCAGCAGGCAGCAGCCTTTTTCATTCAACATGAATGGTGGCTTGCGCTTTTCGTGGCCTTTGCAGACGAAATAGATTGCAGGAGAAAAGGGAGAGCGTTTTTTTGTCACGGCTAGGTGACGAGCATATTCCTTCATCCATCCTGCTGCCACTCTCTGCATGCATGTCCGTCCTCCTACCTTCGCCTCCTCTGCTGATTCTCAATTCACCGGTGGGTGAACGGAGAGAAAAGAAAACACCAGCAGCTCAGTTTCATTCAAACACACAAGAAAAACTCACCTGCTGCCTGCTGGTACTGTGCCCTTTAATTTGCCACCACCCTGTGTCTCCTCTGTGGTACAAAAGGGTTACTTACCATCACGCTCTACTACTCTGTAGTAGATACAAAAAGAAGAAGAAGAAAAAGAAACAAGACTGGTTAGATAGAATCAAACATACGGGGCCTGCCTGTGTTAAGATCAACACCATCACTTTTCAAAGAAAGATAAACACCATCATGAGAGAGAAGCAATCGCAAGCGTGGCTAGAGCACCACATCCACATGTGGGCCGGATCAGGCACGGTCGATGGGGACACTGCTGCACTGCACACTACTCATCCCTCCCCCTTTAAAACCTTGGTTTTACCTTCTCAAAGAGCATCCAAAAAGGCTCAGGAAGAAACAAAGTCCCCCGGCCTAGAAAGGGACTCGAATGCCCATGCCCCTTTCTTTCTTTCTTTCTTTAAGCCATGCATGCATATCAGGCTGTCAGTATATGCTGCCCCCCTTGTTTTCTAAACACTTGTTACAGTCCGTGGTACATATACATCGCCATGCATGGGTTAATTTACAGTTTACTACAAGTCAACTGTTCCCCTGATACCTCACCTAGCCACCTGCCATGATGCCATGCTCCACTCCTTGGCGGCTTGGCTGCCTTTTTATCATGCATTTTACCCTGCATCTGCAAGTTGTTTATGCCTTTTAATCTTCCTTGGTCGTGTATGGACCGTGCGGCCCACGAGGGAAGCGGACCTCTCCCTCTCCGCTCGAAGACAAGCCCACGAATCTGAGTCCCCTCGCTGCACGGCCCACGCCGGCTGCTGTTGCCGGTTGCCGCCCTTATCCGCTTGTGTGGGATGGAACGGCAGCGTCTCGTGCTTGTACGTGGTGACCTTGAGATCAGCATCAGCTCAACAGCCGCAGCAGCGTATCATATCTTCCCCACGCCATGGGGGGATAGGACGCCCAACAGCGGCCACCGCGGAATGTTCCGTGGACCGTTCTGTCCCCGGGGTGGGTGACGAGGACTGTTCTACAGGCGCTGAGGCACTCCCTCCCTCCCTCGTCATCAGTCATCAGGGGCGAAATGGGCATTTACTTTAACCATCCTTGTGGTAGTAGTAACTGTAACACAGGACAGCGTCATGATGAGTCGATTTACGTTACATGAGACAATTGTCCGGGTGTCTACTGCCACCACCTCATCCGGCACTACCGGCAAGTCTTCCAGTGTCGAGTCGAATCAGGTTAAAAATTTGCTCACGATTCTCTAGAGACACATCCATCAGAGCATCAGTACATCACTCCACCACTGGGAAGTCTTAAATATGGGTTGCTGCGAACGACCTCTGCCTGATGAGTCCAGTCCATACGATCGAGCACATGTTCGGATGCCTCAAATTTCCGTAGCGATCCCTGTCGCTCGCTCGCTCACCCTCTTGCCCAATGGCCCCAATCAAAAGCGATGCCCTGCAAGTATATGCAGTCAATAAATGACCCTTTCCGGCTTTTATCAAACAAAGTAGAGTTTACCGGCAGATGTGGAGTGTTGTCAAAACATCATCCATATATACTTTGGCCCACTTTTGCATGTGACGTGCCGTTGCAACCTATTCCTAATCTCATGTGAAAAAATAAAGTTGTTGTGAAAAATCATGTGGCCAGTGTCCTTCTGATGAAGTTTAGATGGGCAGTGATATTATACGACTCCATATATTTTGTGTGTAACTGTAATCTAATGCCCGCAGAAATCTCTGGCATGTTTGTGCAACTTAGATTAAAAGGAACACCTTCGGTCAATATTATGAAGGGCCTGTTTGGCATAGTCTTTTGTTTGTACATCCCTTTCTACACCAGCAACTTGCAAAATGAACTAAGAGGACAAAAAAAAAACGTTTTATAACTCTTCTGGTACTGTAGCACGGAGCCGGAGAGAAAGGGAGCCAAGCCAAACAAGGCCGTAACATGCCACAAAGGATGATTACTCGAGCTTTGAACTAGTTATTTTTTGTTTTAGTTTCTCTTTTTTATTTGTATTAATTTTTCTAGTTTACATTAGTACATGATGTGTTCTGTGCATTTTGATGCACCTTTGGAACATTTGCTCTATTATTGAATATATCAATGTAGTAGGTGTCGTCTCATGCATCTTTGGAAGATGATGTATGAAGCTAGAATTTTCTCCTTAATAATCTAAAAAGTTTTAAAAGTGACAAACATACTTGCCCTGTGCTGTTATGTAAACTGAACCAGGACATATAATCTTTTTTTTTTCTTTTTTAAGAAAGATAATGTTGTTTGGTTGTAACCAAGTCAAATAACCTGTTAGACTGTCTCCAAGAGACCCATATGGACACCTAAACCTAAAATGGATAATAGAGACATAAAATTAGCCTCCAACAGACTACCTATACGGGAGACCTATTTTGTGTTGCCTGATAGACACAACCTAAATATGAGCATCCTCTCTTCTAGAAACTCATTTGTAGAAATGATTCTCTTTTGGGTCCTGTCGTTGAAGAAGATGCCGAATGGGTATTGAATTCTTTGACTGTAGCGCTACCCAAATATTGAATGGGTCTGGTATTTTTGGTTGCTGTTGTTGAAGATAGTCTTACGTAGGCTGAAGGAGAGGGTTTGTCTCTATCTACCTATATTGATTTTAAAAGCCTTTTCCTTTGAACCAATAGGATGACCATTAAGAGGACATTTGTTCCTTAAGAAACCCAAGCGAAAACTAATAGAAAACATAATCTCACATATGATGCTCAGACAATCTCTCTCGGTGTCACATGGAAATGCCCAACTCAGATGCTCTTTGCTTGCAATCTCAGTCGACGCATAAACAATGCATTTCTGTCTCTACCTGTCTACTACCATCTCTCTCCAGAGTCCGGTCTTCTTCACCACCTCCGTTCTTCTTCTCTCTCCCACCATCCTTTTTGTTGCCCATATCTTTGGTGCACGAAAAGGACTCCCGCAGCGGCACGGGCGTAGCAACCGAGTGGCCAGGCACACACAGTATATGATACGTGCAAGTGCAAAGGAGGGCAGAGTGAGGAGAAAAATCAGGAACCAGCCTTACATATTCCCCAAAGCTCCCCCTGCAAAGCTCCACTCGCAGCAGGGCAGAGGGTGTCAGTCAGGGCGCGAGCGCGAGCAGGAGCAGCTCAGGGATCCACCAACTCTCCTTCGTCTGGCCCCGCCCCTCGGAGCCGAGCCATTGACTGCTCAGAGCATCAGGTGCGCTTGGACGCCTAGCCATTTGGCGGCTTGGGCTTTCTGCGTGGGTGCCGCATCCCACCTTTGCATTGCATCCCCCTGCTTCCATCCCCATCATCGCAGCCTTTTGCCTCGCTCCATCGCCGCCATGTTGCTTTAAAGTTCAAAGCTTGTGGGATTGGGAGGAAGAAAAACGAGTCTTTCGCCGGAAAGATGACCCGTGTCGTCCTTGAGGTGGATGTGAACGGCGAGGAGCTCTTCTTCGTTGATAAGGTGCGCTGCGGCTCCCTCTCTTGCCATGTTCATGTTCTTGCTTGCTCCTCCACCTCCTCCATGGATTAAGCCATTAAGGTCTCTTCTTGCTCTGCTCTGAACTCTGGTGTTTATGTTTCTCTCCATACACGACGACGATTGTGATGTCGATGTTTTTGTTGTTGTACTATTCCCCAGATTGGCAGCTTGCTGTCCAGCCTGTTAGCCTAGCGCCCTAGCGGCTCTCTTTTTTGGACTCACTGTTGTCTAGCTCTAGCCGCTTGTTTCTTGTGGACGCCTAGGCCTCGGGGACGAGTGAAGCTTGCCATATCCTGTTGGAACCGAACCTGCTCCAATTCTTCCTCTTGTAGTTACCTCTGTACTACGTCCCTGCTAATCGTTCCACATAGTCCCCAAATTTTTTTTGGCACCACCTTGGCATCGTCTTCCCCAATTCGGTCGCGTGCCGGTCTTCGACTGCTAGTTCCTGATCATTTCCCCCCTGCAGAGGTTGATTCGCCCTCATGGCCATGGCCTGAAAATCCTTGCCTTGTCTGTCGTCTCATCGCTTCTTCTTGCTGTAATTTTGCTGCCGAGCTCTACCCTGCCTGCCATTTCGTGGGTCTAAGACATCGATAGCTTGTTTGTCACACGCCAGTGGAGTCGCCCTGTTTCCACTCATTATGCTCACCTGCAACTCTGCTTCCACATCATTTGTGTCGACTACGTATCACTCAGATTAATCCTGCACTTCTTTTCCTTCTGTTCCTCTGGAATTTTACTGTCTGTTGTTTCTCATAGGAGCATATCGCACCTTCCATTTTTAAGCGCAGTTGCAGAGTGCTCAGCTGCAGAGAGCACACAGTGAAGCTGTGTCCGTTTCCCCATCACTGTCATCAACGAGCTCGCCATGCCTGGTCCTTCTCTTCTTATTAATGGCGTAACTGTACCGCGCATATCCCGCACCTGCTAATGTTCTTCTTCGTCCTCCCGCTCCATTCCTCCACTGCTGGGCGTTAATGGCGTAACAGCTACACCTCATCTTCTTCGCCCTTTTCTATGCGAGGTTTAGTGACCGCTTGGTGGCTACGACTACTCGTTTATGGCCACTAGCTTCTCCCCCATTTGAAAAAGCCTACTACATTCTTCTCCGCAGAGAGAAAGACCTGATCTTCCCTTTAATTTGGCGTCGGTGTTGATTTGGATTCTTGCAAGTGGGTGGCGTCTCGCATTCTTGCGGCTGTGTGCTTCTTCCATGCGCTGACGCTTCTTGTTCTGAATTGCTGTTGCGTTTTTGGATATAAATTGCAGGACGTTCTTGCGCGCTTCTGCGGTAGGATCAGGAGGGTGGTGGCCGCCGGCGCAGTGTCCGCGAGGCGGCATCCGAGGGTAGCTCTGCACGGATTCCCCGGTGGCCCCGAGGCGTTCGAGCTCGTCGCGAGGTTCTGCTACACTGACGGCGGACGCGGCGGCGCGGTGACCGCGGCCAACGCGTGCGTGCTGCGGTGCGCGGCGGAATTCCTAGACATGGCGGCGGCAGACGCGCCCGAGGTCGGGGTCGCGTCCACGGCGGCGCCGAGCCTGGTGCGGATGACGGAGAAGGCGTTTGAGGAGATGCCGCACTGGCCGTGGCACACCGTCGTGGACGCCGTGAAGCAGTGCCAGCGCCTGGTCCCGCTCGCGGACTCCACGGGCGCGTTCGACGCGGCCGTGGCCGCGCTGGTGTCGCAGATGGCCGTGCCCCCGCCGGCGGCCGGGGACACCACGCCCACGGGCTCCTCGCCGGAGTGCACGGAGTTCCGGTTCTCGTGCGACACCAAGAGCAGCAGCCTCAGCCTGCGCGGATCCTGCATCAGCCGCACCTGGTGGTTCGAGGACCTCGTCGCGCTCGGCCCCGCCACGGTGGAGCGCGTCGCCTCGGCGCTCGTGGCCAGGGGCACCGACCACGGCGTCGTCGCCCGGTTCCTCTTCTACTACCTCAAGTGTCGCATCGCCGGCGCGAGCGCCGACGACAAGAAGGCGATGCTGGAGGCGTCGGTCGCCGTCATGGCCAGCCTCGACCGGAGCGTGGTCTCCTGCAAGGGCCTCTTCGGCATCCTGAGGATCGCCGCGCCGCTGAGGCTGGCCGACGCGTGCCAGGAGCGGCTCGTCGCCATGATCGGCCGCAAGCTGGACCACGCGACGCTTGATAACCTGCTCGTCCCAGCGCCGCCCGGGACGGCCAGCCTGTACGACGTGAGCCTGGTCTTCAGGTTCTTGGCCGCGTTCCTCCGCGGCGGCGCCAGCGACGAGCCGGCGAGGCTGAAGAAGGTGGGCAGGCTCATGGACCTGTACCTGGCCGAGGTCGCTCCGGACCCGTCCCTTCGTCCGGCCAAGTTCCTGGAGCTGGCCACCGCGCTGCCGGCTCCGGCCAGGGACTGCCACGACGCGCTGTATCGCGCCATCGACGTCTATTTCCAGGTAGTTACTGTAGGAGTTTAACGTAACATTCCATTCCGACAACGTCCTAATTTCGACAGCATTTCACATTTACTTCGCATTAACTCTGCTTAGATTGGACAACAGTTACTACTCCGCATTAATTGCCAGCATGTCAGTGCTTCCTCTGAATCCTATGTATGCAATGCGGTTAACTTCTGCATGTTCTCATCTCTGAACCAACTGATTGGCCAACCAAATAAAAATGACCCTTTACTGCTAGTACCATAATTCGAGTAATAAATGTCGGTTGATTGATGTTCATCGTGTCAGATTCACGGCCGCCTGACGGACGAGGAGAAGATGAAGATCTGCAGGGGGCTCAGCTACGAGAAGCTGTCGCCGGAGTGCTGCAAGCACCTGGCGCGGAACGGCGAGTTCCCGACGAGAGCGGCGGTGCAGGCGCTGGCATCGCAGCACACGGTGCTCAAGAGCATCGTCCTCCGCGAGCCGGGTCAGCTGAAGCCGGTGTCGCCGTCCCCTCCCCCGTCCAAGGGGAAGCGCCGCGACGGCAGCGGCGGCTACGACAACGACGACGTCGGCGGCGGTGGCGAGAACGACGGGCAGGTGATCCTGTACGCGGGGCGGCTGGACCTGTCGCTGGAGAACCAGAACCTGCGGTCGCTCCTGGACGGGATGCACTGGCGGGTGATGGAGCTGGAGAAGGTGTGCAGCAGGATGAAGACGCAGATGAGCAAGATGAAGCAGGCCAGGCGAGGCGGCGGCGGACGCACCGCCAGGTCGCTCCCCAGGATGTGTTCTTGATCCAGAGCTCGCCCTGCCATTATTTAGCGTTTAGCGGTGATCGCAACACTGTACCATAGCGATGTACATACGGCTAGAAATCAATCAAGTGCAGTGCAGGTGGCACTGGCAGCATCCCCCTGCATCTTGTCCCTTAAGTTGTTTTTGCTTCATTTTTGCCTAGTATCCTCTGTGTATGATGTGTGTATCAATTCTTGGTGATTGGAATTTGAAAAAGCAGCTAGCTAGCTTCAGTCTGAGTGGTCCTTGGATGAATCTGGTGTGGTCTATCTGAAAAAAAAAGGTATGTGGCATGCTTGATGCTTGAAGAATCTCACAATGATACAGTTCGTCAGGTCGTATGTACAGTAACTACCACTACCAGTAGGAAGCATTTTGCTTCAAAAATAAAGTTAGCCAAGTACAACTATATGGCTTTTATGGTATATACATGCTGATTATGACGCTCTATGACTTTGTCCTGCATCATTGTTCTACTTTGTTTTATAGGTCAGAGAAGACCATGAAAGATCAAAAGGATTAAACAAATGGTACTGATGAGCTCCACGTCCTTGCTAAGCCACTGTTCTACCCACAGGCTTGCTGTGTAGAAAAAGCATGATGACGGCGGGGAAGGAACATGCATGAGTACATTGACATCATGACAGGTAAGGTCCCATGGGAACAGTTGACTTGTAGAGCGTAAATTAACCCTGGGTAATGCGCTGTTTACAGTGTTTAGGAAGATAAGCCAGCTCTGACAGCCTGATACGCATGGTTTAGTGGGCAAAGTGAAAAATGACATCGGCGTTCGAGTCCCTTTCTAGGCAGGGGCCTGTCTTTTTGGATGCTCTTTGAGAGTATGTAGAACAAAGGATTAAAGGAGTGTTGTGCAGTGCCCAACGTTAAACATAGTAGTGCTCCATACTTTATTACGGAGTAGTACCTCTCATATGTGGTGATCTAGTCACGCTTCCAATTGCTTCATGATAGTGTTGATCTTACCACAGGCATTCGGCACCCCCACAGGCCATTAGATTCTAGCCAGCCATGACATGTTCTTGGGTGAACTGCAGTGCCGATAGAACTTTTCGTCTCCTTTTTGTTTGATTTCTCTAGCTGAAAACTTGCTGTAATGCTGTTAAGCCCAAGATCGATGCACATGATTAGTACTCAAGATAGCTCTCAGGCCTCCATGTGAAATGTGAAGGAAGAGATCGAAAAGCAAAAGCTCCTTTTGTTTAAGAGCAATTTCTGTAGTACTACTCTATTTCTGTAATTTAATTATTCAAAAGCCAGATCGTAATGAAACCCACACTCCCGTTCATGGAGTAGAGTTTGTAGGAGTAACTATTTGGTTTGGTTTAATTAACATACTAATGCCGAGAATAAAAGTTAGAGATAGGCACGCGTCTTTTTTGGGACGGAGGGAGCATACAAAAATTGTATTCTTCCAGCCTGTTCGCTCGTTGGTTTCAGTTAGAGCTTATCAGCCAGTCAATAGTATTTTCTTCTCACAACAAACCAGCATCAGTCGTACTTATTAGACCAGAAAACAAACAACGAGCGAACAGGCTCTTCGTTTCCTTTTTTTCCCCCACTGTAAATGTAAAGGCTGTAAATGTAAAGGACGATACTACTGGCCTCCCACCCTGCTCAGCGGTGAGTCACAATCAACACACAAAGCTGGATATGCAGTGTCAGAATCTGAATCAAAAGAGATGCTCGTCACCGGTCCATGACAAACATCCTTTTCCTCTCCAGATTCCAGAGTCTAATCTGCACTGCACACACAGGTCATCAGGCACACTCATAGTCAAAAAGGTTGGTGGTCTCCATGAGCGAACCCAATGCACCCCACCACGGGCCAGGGGCCTGGGCCACGCCAACCAGACCTTCTGCCGGCGCCGGCCGCCGGCCGCTGGCTGGCAGAGCCTCGGCCCCGGCCTCCGCTTCCAACTCTGTCCTCCCCGTGCGCCGCCGACCGGAGCGGGGGACGGTAGGTGGTAGCTATAGATGCCTGGCTGGTGCCGGTGCCCCCCCGGGTTCCTAATTACACTTCCGGCCGGTTGGACGAAGAACCGAGGCCGAGGGCGTACTGTACGTGGAGATAGGGCGGCGCCGTGCCATGCATCTGGCCTCCTGAGTCCTGAATTCGTGATGATGGGAGCTGACGGACAGGCGCACAGGCGCCGTGCCATGCATCTGGCCTCCATGCCAATGCCAAGCTAGAACGTACAGGGCCCCGACCGGCCGTGCAGCGCAGCGTAACGACGCAGCATGAACGAATGAATGAAATGAAACCAGCTAAACGCCGCAGCTGTCTGCGCGCCTAGTTTTCGCAGCCAAAGAGCAGTTGGGTGCGTCCTGCACGCGCGCTCGATCTGCCAGCCTGCCCGTCGGTAACTACAGACCAGCTACCTACAGCATGGTGCCTTGTGGGCCAGTGAACTGTACCACGTTGTCATTGTCGATCCTGAACCGGCCGGGTTCGACTTCGAGCTAGTCTTGTACGTCATCGCCTCATCGGCACCGCCGGCCGGTATATCGTTTCTCACTTTCTCCACGCACTCGATCACCCCCAAAGAAAGTTGAGGAAAATTCACCGTCGGTCTCTGAACTTGGCCAGCGATGTCATTCAGCTTCCTGAACTTCTAAAGTGATATCTATGGGTCCCTGAACTTAACAGATGGTGTCATCAAGGTCCTAAACTTTTAAGATGATCATCGTAGATCCCTAAACTTGGATGGCGGTGTCATCCTGTTCCCAAACTTTCAAGATGATCACCGCAGGTCCCTAAACTTGACGAGTGGTGTCATCCCTGTCCAAATGTAATAATATTAAAAGTTACCTATAGTATTAAAATTTTTCTCTATTAAAAGTTATTTCTAATTTTAGTATTATTTTAAAAGTTTTAATAGTAGTATTATAGAAGTAACTTTTCTCTGTTATTAATACTATAACATTATTATTAAAACTTTTAATACTATAATACTATTATAGTATTAGAAATTTTAATACTATAACATTATTATTAAAACTTTAATACTATAATGGTATTATTAAAAGTTCTAATACTATAATACTATTATTAAAAGTAATAGTATTATAGTATTATAGAAATTTTAATATTATTTTAATACTATTAATGATACATAAATACTAAATTAATTTTAGTATTTTTATATTTTAGTATAAACCTAATGTATTTGTTGTTGTAAATTATTTTAATACTTTAATTTATTTTTCCCTGATGTAAATTATTTTATATAATTTATATTTTCATGATAAATATTATATAAATAATAATTGATTAATTGACACATGTTGGATCCATGTCTAACGTACAGTCAGCGTGCCACGCCAGCTTATAGAATAAGTTAGACCACATTTAGACAAGGATGATACCGTTTAACAAGTTTAGGGACTTGTAGTGAACACCTTAAAAGTTCAGGGACCGGAATGACACTGTCAGCCAAGTTTAGGGACCTGCAGTGATCACCTTGAAAGTTTAAGGACCTGGATGACACCATCTACCAAGTTCAGGGACCCACAGATATCACTTTAGAAGTTCATGAACCTGGATGACACCGCCGATCAAGTTCAGGGAACGGCGGTGAATTTTGCTCAAGAAAGTTCAAGGTTGGTCATTCACGCTTCCTTTGCATGTGCTTGATCAGGACTCTTCACAAACCATAACCATGCATGCATATTGTTTGGATGGAGCAGCTTGTGCTGTTCGTTCTAATCCAAGTTCACGCCTACGCAACGTACGTACGCATGCACGTTGGGCTGTACTGTACGTGTACATGCATGCACCTCAAAAACCACATCTTGCGCTAGCTGAAAACCCAATCAAGGGCGAGAAGCTGAGAGATCGAGTGGCCTAGTGTACAGTATGAGCTTTGACCGCCATTGTTAACTCTTTGATTGATAATATAACTAGAGAAGGACCGAAACACGCGCAGATTATAATAGAGGCATGCATCGATGAATGCATCCATGCACAAGACGACTAAGATCCTATGGAAGTGATCGCTTAGATGGCACTCGTCTCCGCCCCGATCTCTTTGATTACGTGTGAACGTGTCGCGAATAAACAAACGAGCTAGCAGTTGGCGACAACATCAAGCGTGCCACATCGTATGCGTGCGTGTATGGCGTTTGCAGCGGCTGCAGCTAGCTAAAATATTGTTAAAGTTATTATGACAATTATAGCGTGACAAACAAAATATTGTTCCCTTCCTTAGAGCACGCTCATGTACTTGCCACTCAAAGACCATGCATGTTTCTTACTAGTTGATTAATGAGTGAACAAACCCAGCGCAATTGGAGTGTCACACTAGTAGAGAAATGACTTTCGGTTAGCACCGTACCCTTTAGTCTCGGTTGTGTTGAAATTTGGGACTAATGTGAGCATTAGTCCCGGGTCTAAATTTTACATGCACCGACTAAAAAACCATCCTTTAGTCCCGGTTGGTAAGTGACATTTTAGTCCCGGTTGGTAACACCAACCCGGACTAAAAGTCTCCCACCTGGGACTAAAGGTCCCCCGCGGGTGAATTCAAAAGGAGAGCGCCCAGGACTCTATCACATGTGGTGTGCAGTTGAGTTGGTAAGGAAGCTACGCGCGAGCCAAGGAGTTTTAGGTTCGAATCTCACACATCGCAAGAGAGGTCTCCTAGGATTTAAACTATTTTTTTAGTTTTGAGAATGGGCTTTAGTCCCGGTTGCGTGACCCGAGACTAAAGATCCCGACCTTTAGTCTCGGATCCGCAATCCCGGTTGGGAAACCAGGACTAAAAGCCACTTCCCAACCGGGATTGAATCTGACCTGTGTACTAGTGTCAATTTACTATTGTAGCTAAGTTTATGGTTTTTGCAATTAAAACCTCTCTGAAAATGAAAATTTTCTTATATGATACTTACAGAGGAGTAGTGTTAACCAAGGACAATCAGGCCAAGCGCGGAACTAGCAAGGTAGCAAAACTTATTGCCTTTGTCGCAAAGATGGGATACTT